ATGGCTGTCTTGGCAGGGGAAACATGCTTTTGTTGTAACTCAAAACTTGGGCTGGGGAAGTTTGGAGAGGCAACAACTTTGTGGGATTAGTCTCCATGGCCCATGTATATTTTCACTGAAAACAACAGATTTTTACATTCCGCAGCATCATTTATTCATCTGACAAGCATTATGGTTTCAGACTCGCCTTATTAGATGATGCAAATATTTTCCTCTTGGGTGGAATCTGGCTTGGTTTTTTATTTTTTCTGTTCCCAGGATGAAGTTTTGAAATAAAGTGAGCATCCAGTTTGTAGAGACTTGACTGGATCCACCCTCATTCTCTGGGAGGAAACCGCTTCCATTCCCTCCAAATAGAGACTCAGAGCCGCAGCTCTGAGTCTGCTGCTGTTACACAACCGATGGGGTTGGAGAGCAGCATTCTCACATGCTGATGTTAACTACATACGCAGCACTTTCCGCAGGTCAAACCCCAACCTCCAAACCCACAGACTATCTATTAGGCTCAAAATGAAGCTGTTCATTTATGCCTGTGGTACAGAATTCCATTTGTGTTACAGTAAAAGAAAAAACTTTAGCTTTGTCATGATACAGTAAATGATGAAGGATCAGTTCTCAATAAAAGCCGAACCTTGTGACTCACTGAGGATAGCTGGTACTTATTATACGCACGCATATACATGTGGTTGTGCAGCAATCACATACACAAGCTATGGTCTGCTCTCTTGTGTCTGTGGTTTAGTTTATGTATGTTTTTTCTGTTTTTTTTTTTTTGTTTGTATATTTATTCCATGTTCACATCATATGACATGGGTGGATGGATGGTAGAGATTTTCATGTTTCAAGCATTCACATTATTAGATGCTAGATGCTAACTTTAACTACCTTTTGCTTGATCTTTTGTTCTTTGAATGAACTTGGAAATGTTGTAGCCATCAGAAATTCCTCATCTTATCTACTTGTAATTACAACAGGCTACTTTTTCCTCCCACCACAGTCTGTACAATGTGATTAATAATAAACGTGATACCTGTAAACTGGCTGACTTGAGAAAAGGAAACTATAATGTGCCATTATCCAGTAATTACCATTTACAGCCACATTGGCCGCTGTTCAGCAAAGTTACTGAGGGTTTTTATTCATCTAAAAGACTGACTTTACTGAACTGAGTGTATAATGTACAGAGATTTCCTTACGGAGAGAGCCGTCTGGATGACATATGACGATTCAGCAGCTTTAAAAAGTTTCCAGGAAGTGTGAAATTTGTTAGAAGTTTGACACCATATAAATGAAAGAGGGAAAAAGTGTGGTTATGGTTACTGTGGGAAATAAGCTTTTGATGGTGTATCTTGTGTCAAATAGAGAGTCCTATTATAAGCCAAGCTGGAAGTGCAGTAAATGAATGCAAGCCTCCCTCAGTTTCCTCGCTGTCCTCCATTTGTCCCCGTCATGTTCTCCCCTCATCGTTAGAGACAGACCACCAATAACAACGCTCAAGTTAATTCATACAGCTGCGGCAGGGCTGATACTGTACGTCGTCCCACATCAAGAGGGGTCACGAGTTTCTTCCCCACCACAGCCAATATGTCTGTCAACAGCCATGAGCTAAATGGCCAAAATGCAAATGCCAAATAATTAGCCTTGTACAAATCGCACCGCGCTCTGATAAAGCTCTGCGTTCAGCCAGAGCCCAGACTGGTTTGCGTAGAAAATCTTCAAATAACCCCTCTATTATCATTCCACTGCACTGGCACGGACCGCAGAACAACAAAAATAACACGAGTCATTTGGCACCCAAACATCTCATGCATCTGTCGTGCATGCTGAGGCTTTGATAGTTTTTGGATCGCCCACAGAGAGAACCAGATTCCTTCTCTCAAAATAGGCTGTTAAAGTAGATGTGTAGTGTTTAAATTTGCACTCTTTTGAGGAGATGCAGAAGTGGGATTTTCCCACTTGTCATTTAATGTGGGAATGTAGGGGAAACTGCACATTAACATATGACATTAGTAAAAACAAATCAGTCTTGTGGTTTTCAAACTGGGGTCTGGTCCGGGGACCAGCAGGGGTCCCTGAGTGGGTTGTAGCAGGGTCCCCAGCAGGAATAGAATATTATATATAACTCTCATCCCATTTTTTGGAAGTTGGAACGACAAAGGAAGAAATAGGGTTGGCACCAATGGTTGTGTTAGGTCATTTAGTTTCATATAGCATATACTTCTGGACAAGCCCCTGCAGAGGGGATTCCTTAAGACAAAATCATCTCAAACTGGGGTCCGTGGTCTAATGTGGGGGTCCTCTACATGAAGAGGTTTGGCCACCTCTTATATATGTTGCTTTATTAGTGGTTATTATTACAGATGCATTAAATTACTTTGTATAATCTGCAAAATAACTGCAGCTCCTGAATGTAGTGGAGCAAAAAGTACCTCTGACATGTAGTGGAGTAGAAGTTTAAAATGTCCTCTCAGGTGTCTGAAAAGCTGATTTAGAGACTGACACTGTCATTTTAGAGCTGAGCACATATCTCCAAGCTCATATCTGAGACTCTTGAGACTCTTGAAGAACAGCAGCTCACTACAAACAGCCAGATAACAGCCGGGTCAGGGCCTGGAGCAACAAGCCTGACACGTTTCTGTGAAGGTGTGGGAACCACTGATGTAAGTGATCAGAAAAGTAAGATATCCCATTTGTTTTTGATGATGTTTAATGATGTTCACACTGCTTTCTCAACAGCATTTCCTTTGAAGCTGATGGGATGTTTCACAAGAGGAGGCCGTGTAATTGGAAATTTTAAGTTTTTTGAGTAATCAAGAATGAATCATTGTAGTAGAAATTTCAGCTGAAGAGATTCCCAAATTACTCATAAAACAAACTGTTTCTTAGCATGTAAAAAATATAAATACCTGAGGACTTCAAATAGAGCAAATGGTCAGTGACTTACAAACAATATGACTAATAGTTATCATACAACCACTCATTGTCAAAGTGCATCTTCTAAATGCAACGGTCTGTTTAACCTGTATATTGGCTCGACGTGTCCGGACCTGCAGGTGACTTTTACTGAAGGAGTGAACGCGGCCGCCTTCTCAAACACACTCAGGCACACTCTGACAAACCTACAAAATAGTTTGAGGTTTTTTGTTTCCGTGTTGTCTCTCTGCTTTGTAAGCTACTAAGTTTTGGAAATTGTCCAAGTTAAGCTCCTGTAAATACTTTTGGTGTTTACAAGTGCTTTCTTTTTTTTTTTTACCAGGGTAAAAGAAGAAAACACCCAGTTGTAAATATAGTCAGGATAAAAGTAACAGGTCAAAGATCAAAAGAGGAATTTATGCATTTCATAATTGTTTTTTTGGTTTTTTTTGTGGAACAAGATCCAGTTTAGTGTGACCAGTAAAAAACAGAGTGGTGTGATTGGGTTACGGCGTTGTTGCGATGCTGTGAGGGAGGGAGCAGATTGTCAGGAGAGCTGTGAGCAGGTTAAGGCCTGTCCGGCATTTAGAGGGCTGGATCAAAGCTGACATGCAGGAATGTGTCTCCATATAGAGCGTGAAATCTGTGCAATGCAATCGGCTCTGTAGCCTCAAAAGTGATGACCCAAAGATGAAAGGTTTAAAGCAGTAATATTTTAACTGTGGTTGTTCAATTCCAGGTATGTTGAAAGAGAGCAGTGTGAGAACGTGAACTGATTCAGACTGGGGATTCATTAGAATTAAAGTTTGATGGATGACTTTACATTATAATCTTTTCATTGGGAGGTTGAAAAATGCTGTTAAGACATACAAAACATATCAAAGATTCCCCTGAAGCTTTCACAGCTTTATAGCCATACATTAGTATGCTAGTCACTATTTTATATACCCAGGGTTTCACCACTTAAATACTGCATATGGGGTAGTAATTTTCCAGGATTCACCGTTCTGGACTAACTTTAAACGTAAAACAAGTGGAAGGGCGTGCATTATGTTTCACATATGCTTCATTAGACTCGCTTGTCAGTCAGGAGAACACGTTGTAGGTGTGAGATAAAGCACTCAAATCAAGCTCCACATGTCAAGCACATTGACAGTAGAAACACTACACATGTACAATTGCTTATTCTTTTAACCTAAAAAACCCTGAACATCCAAGATAGAGCTGATTCTGTCATTGATGTATTTATTGCCACTTTTAGAATTTAACTGCATATGCTGAAACTTTAAAAGGCCATAACAACTTAAAACACATGTGGAAATATGATTAATATTAAGTAAAATATAATAAAACATACTTATAAGACTACATAAGACTTTTTAAGTTTAAGCCTGCAGCATCATTTCTACTTGAGCAAACTTGTGGAGTGGATTATTTTGTAATTTATTTATATCTACCATGTTTTATTCTAAGTTTATAGTTTTTTTTTTTTGTATCTTAATTCTTCATTTTGCTTATTTTATTAAATATAGATCTGCAGCTTTGTTTAGCTTCACAATTCAACATTATGAATGTAAACAAACCTTTTACAGCCTCAGCAGTCACATGCAGCGTAAAGCTTTCACATACTTCCAGTAGCTGTTTCAACACATCAAGCAATACATTTCATTATGACAAGAAATATCTGATAAATGAACAAAGCCAGAACAGTAGCGATAACACAGTCCAAACTTCATCTCTTTGCCCCAGACAGGAAGGCGATTCTTGGAGGAGACAAACAGCAATCATCATGGCGTGAACCCTCCTGACCTCAGCTGCCTGGGACTTGACCTCTCACCTTCTGACTGCCCTGCTGCTGTGGAGCTGATTGTGGTATCAGAGGGCTGGAGGCGAGCCCCTTTAGTCATGAGAAATGAATCTTCCACATGCTGCAGGAGGAATGTCATGGTCCAGACAGTCCGGAGATCCCCTCTGGGAGTTTAGGAATTCGGGCACCTGTGAAATCCCCTTTAGTCTTTTCAGGGGGCGTCAAACCTCCTTAAGTGCATCTGCAGGCGTGTCTACTAGAGAATGGGAAGATGCTTGATTTGTCTTTCATGTTGGTGAGTCCTTGTCTTATAAAGGTCACCTGCTGTGAGGTTTTTGACATTTGTTTGGTATTAACAGCTGTAAAAACCACCACTGCCATGTGTTTGTAGTTTGCTACTAGCTGCTGCCCCCAGCTAGTTAACGGTGCATTTAGCTGGTGTGTTTTACTGGAATGAGCACCAGAGCCAAAGTCAGGCGAGCTGGCAACAGACCTGGGCTCAGCAGCCTTTCGGTGACCACGGCCGGGACTGAACACAACCTTCAAGACTGTGAGAGAGGCCATGTGATTTACAGCGGCTCAACCTGGACACTGACTCCAGGGACAAAGAAGACACAGTGGGTTCGTGCAGGGACAGGAGGGGTGTGAATCAAGAGGAGCGAGTTGATTTGTAAGTCGTCACCGATCCAGTGTCGGCTAGTTGTTTTAGTGAAGTTGGAAGTCATTTATTCGAGTGTTGTAGGACGTTATACTGTGTTAACATACTACTGCTTTCATTTAACAGCCAGCTGTTATAAAATATATATTTAAATAATTAAAGTAATATCAGAAACATTTGGTAACTAGTCAACTGATGGCTTGAAATAACTACTACGACAAGGACAATCTTTACTCGGGGACAGGCCTAGATATTTGGACCACTGAAATAATCTTTATTTTAAGCTGCTGTGAAATATTTTCCTGTACGGTTTAACCTCTGCGTGGAAAAGACAAGAAATGTAGCTGTCCATAAACAAAATGTATGTGAGTGTAAATGAATGAAGGTGTAAGACTGAAAAGCACAAGTTTTATGTAACAGAGGATTTGAGAAGTCCATTGTTTGACCTTTTTAAAACACCTTATAAATCACCCCAGACATCATTCTTACAGGGATTGCTGGCAGAGTTTTATCACCCTCTGACTGGCTTTTATTTTTTTTTTTTTTTTTTTTACTGAAACAGTGGTTGGAATTTAAAGAGGAGAGTCTGTGAACTTCACACGATGACAAAAACCGGACTCTTTTGATGTACTGCACAGTTGAATCAGTGTCAACTGTGTCTGCAGCCCAGACAACGTGTTGGTGTCACATTTCATAATCTGTGTGCACCAAACCTTTGAAGCAGCACGGCTGCAGTTCATGAATGACAACAGAGAAAGAAAAAGTCTCTGCAGAGTCTGTTGATAGCACTCATACACATACACATACAGTTTTATGTTATTTCTTTGTTGGGGAAAACATGAATTTATAGCCCCCAAGTCGCCAAGAAGATAAAAAAAAAGCAGGTTTAAAATCTGGTGAAACAAAAAAAAAATCACAGATTTAATGAAAAAAAGAAGCTAAAAATGTCACCTTTATACAAACAGGTGTACAGTTGTGTGGTGTTGTGTTTATTTTCACTTCACACCAGTGTGGAAAAGTGAAGATTAAAGAGGAAACTGTATAATGTAAGGAAACCAGAAAAGGTGGAGAAAACAACAGTAGTGGTGAGAGATGAAAGCAAGGGAGTGTGAGCATTTAGAGGCTGTTTAACTTCACATCATAAGTCATTTTGAAGGAGTTGACCACAAGACATACACATAAACAAACAGCCAGAAAGACTCTACAACCATAGAGTTGCTTCGTGCTTTGATCCATTGCTGCACTGAAGGTTTTTCTGGCAAAATTTTAGCCAGCAAACTTTTCATTTTTGCAAACTTGTCCGTCTTTTTCTACTGCAGGCACACAGTGTCCTTCCACAGACTGCACATTACCCTCCAGTGTTATATAATTCATGACATATGGCTGAAGTATCTTCCTGGAGCTGCACATTCTCTCGTCATAACTTTCTGAATATCGTGGAATAGCTTGTTAACTACTACCTGAATATTAATATCCTTTAGAGGACAGCCGGCTCTGTAGCACTGATACATGTACCGGATTATTAGCTGAGGGGCACGGCGTCCTTCGGGGCGGGTGGTTGGGCAAAAATGACTTGAAAGATTTAAGACGGCGGTGTGATATATTCTCGTGTTCAATCCATACTTGATGGGTGGAAAGTAATGAACTTGTCAAAAGACAGAGTGAGTTCATTTTAATATCCATCAGCTGACCGCTTGCAGCAGAGGAGGCAACGGAGTTCAGACAACATGAAACATGAGTGCGGCCTTTGATAACTTCATTACTGAGGTGAGTTAAGGCCTGTGTTCGTCCTCTGAATTCTAATTAGCAGGTCATAAAATCTGTCCTCTCTCGTGGTCAGGGACAGGATGAGTGATTTCCGTTGTCCTTTTTCTGCTTCTGTGGACTCCAACCTCCCTGCAAAGTCAGACAGTCTCAGCTTGCCGGCCAGTGGACATGTTTATCATAATATTATTCCACTCGTAATCATATTTCATCCTGCATAGTCCAACTACCTCACAGTATACTGCTCAGACTCACCCTGACTCATACTGATACTACCATGTGTTTTACACCAAAAACCTGATAAATCTGTTTAGTTTCGCATTAAAGTTCATTTTTGACCGTGGAAACAGCAGTTTGAATAAATAATGTTGTCTCACGATCTGATCGCTTACCAGCATTTCCCAGATCTTTGAACTGCATCTCATGATCCTCATCAGCACAGAGATTTTGCTCAATCATCCAAAAAAAAAAAAATGCAATCAAATCAAGGAACCAAGGAAATGTATTTATCATTATACAACCTTGTGTTGTATAGAAAATAAAGTAAAAACATTAAAATTATGTCATTTAAAGAACACCATTGTACTGCATTGCAAACCTTTGTACTTGCATTTTGCGTATAGTGTATATATTTTTCAGTTATAGTTTTATATTTCTATTATATTTTGTAATATTCTTATTTGTGATAAGATTGTATTTGTACACTGTACTCTTTTTTTGCACTATATTCCCCAATGCTGCTGTGTGTAACTTGAATTTCTCCTACGGGGGCTTAATAAAGGTATATCTTATCTTATGACCAGTGTGTAGGATTTCGTGGCATCTAGTGGTGGAGCTGCAGATTGCAATTTACTGAACACAGCTCGCATCTTTATTTGACGACCTGGAAATGAGAACGGGCTTTGTGTAAGTGTGTGGGAGAAACTACGAAGGCCACAAAACTCGCAAAAGTCTACAGCCAGTGTTTGGTTTGTCCGTCCACCAGAAACATGGTGGACTCCATTGAAGGTAACAAAAACACAACAATTCCTATATTCAGATGATCATAAACTAATGAAAACTAATCTATGAATGTTATGTTCCATTTCTTTCTTGTGTTTTCTTTTGTTTCCCTGTCTGCTGTGTCTCCTGTATCTCTGTGTGTCTGTGTGTTGTGGGCGTATTCTGCTCCTCAGCACACCTGTCAGCAATTGGCTCATCACCTCTCTCCCAGTCTTCCAACTCATCAACTCAGCTGTACCTACTCCGGTTCTCCATCCCCTCAGGGCCAGATTTTTTCTTCAATCTCAGTGGATCCCAGTCGGCCTGCCTGCAACCGGCTCTCCTTCGCTCCCTCTGTCGGCCACACTGCCTCCTCCTCTATTCCACCTTCCTTCTGCAATAACAGTCATCCCATCTCCTCAACTCATCTCCAACCACAACAGTAATTATTCAATTAAACTGTTAAACTTCATCTGTCTCTTGACCTGTGTTTAGCCTCCGGGTCCACACTTTAAAACTAGCAACTCTGGTTATTTTACACAAATCACACTTGGAGAAAAAAGTGCTTGAAGGTCATATGAAGGTATCTCATTAACAGAAAGAGGCATTGATTAAAAGGTAAAATTTAGAGACATAGATGATAACAAAAATGTATCCTGGGAAGTGCTTGAACTACTAGTTACTGGGGAAAGTAATATTATTACTGTAACACTACTACTAGTAATGCCCAGCACTGCTCCTGAGTACCTATTGCTCAAAACTATGATGCCAGTCTGTAGTGGGAAATGATTTATCCCTTTTTAAAATGCACAGACATGATAGAGAAGTCAGAAAGTATTCAGAGTTGGAGTAACACATTGTTAGTTTTGGTCTTTTAATGAAATTTGTTGAAGAATACAAACTATTGCCTACCTCATCCTATAAAATAAGCATGCCTAAAACATGCAGCAAGGACAGAAGACATCATATACTGAATTCAAACAGTCTGCTCAATGAGGAAGTCTTACTAACAAACACACCAACTATAAGTGATGGTGTGTCGTGTGTCACACTGTAAGTTATTCAGATTTTGACTTGTGGAGCAGTCAGGCGGCAGTAATTTGCGTTGCTGTCAAGTGACCCGACGTCGAGTGTCACATTCAGTGAAGGACTCTTTATGCATGAGCGCCTCAACGGTTAATTACATTATCTGACCTCAGATCTGCTGACAATCTGCTAAATCATCACTGTGAAAGATACAAGTGACAGAAGAGGACACAAACAGTGTCTTCTGAAGCACAGGGGATCAACAAGTTCTGGATTTTAGACATCCTATAGACTCGCACGAACCCTTCTATTATTCCTGAGCCGTCCCTTAAAAATACATGTTGACAAACACCAGAGCCCTGCAATTAAAAGGCCCCTGCCTCTGAGACACAGTGACTGCTGCTGACGAGGTTCAGTAATTGTTCCCCTGTCATATAAACCTTGTAATTACCTCATGGAGATCGAGGCATCTTCTCTCTGCGAGGTTGTCAGGACTGTACAGAAATAGCCCGTCTCTCTGCCTCCTCGTCCTCCTCCTCCTCAGCTGCAGCTGCAGCTCTCCAGAGAGAAACACCGGAGCCATAATCCTGCTCCAGAGGCACTGCGCCTGGAGCTCCTTTTCCTGACACTTTGTTTCAAATACAAACAGGAAGTAGGAGCTGTATGGAAGAAACTGTGCCAGGAAGTATGTTGTGAAGGTTAAAGGAAGTGTCGAGGCCACCTTGATGTGGTTGGGATCAGAGGATTGGCTGTTCAACATGGTGGATAAGTGGGTAATAGAGATATTGGTACAATCTTTTATTCTTTGGACATCAGTTATCTTGTAGAGCAGGAGCCTTTTTGTCTTTATTTATCATTGTTGTAGGTCTTAAGTAATTCTTACATTCTCTAGTTGTATAATTAGTAGCCATTACTCACCAAATAACTAAAATGTCCTTACCTGTTGTCTTTTCCTCTTCATTTTGCCGAACCTCAGTCACTGTAGCAAGGTTAACTATAGATTACAAATTCAAAAAAAGAAAAGTCTCTGAGGAAAATAGAGAATTTAATAGGTTGTTGACAGATTTTTTTTTTCTTCAGAACATTAGACAGGACAGCTTCAGGTATGGACAAAAAGGGGCCACAGGTCAGACTTAAACCCATGGCTGCAGCCGCAGGGACCCAGCCTCGGCTCCACCAGGCCATCAGGGTGCCCAAAGAAATTACTTTTTTGATAGTAAAGGTTGCTGACCCCTGATCTAAAGAGACAAGGTTCGTTGGAAAAGCCAATCAAAAAAGAGAAGTGGTCTCTCCAGCTGCCTGATTGAAATCTGAGGCAGCAGCAGATTTTATGCCCGGGAAGGTTGCCAGTTTGGACATACTACTGACAGATCCTGGCAGCAACGGGGAATTTTACATTGATTAAAATAGATCTAAATTATCTGGGATGTCTATGCTAATATATATACTGAGGGTTAACGGGTGAAAATATACTAAAAGTCTTAAAACCACTGTAGCTAATACTTTCATATTTAAAGGGGTGAGGAGTTAATGGGATAAGTCATATACATCCACAACTGCGGACCTTCTTGGAGAATATTTTCCTATAATAGTGGATTTTCTTTCTTAAAGGTTTAAAAAGTTGATGAAATTTCTGTTTCCGGTGGACAGGCTGTTCAAGCTGCCCTCAGACGCAGAGGTAAATCTAATGTTGTCGGCTAAAGGCCAAATCAACCTGTCACTACTGGTTAGAGGAAATGCTTTGATGCCACATCGGACTGTGCAACCATAATAATACCACGCATGCCGATTACAAAAAGCGCTGTGGGGCATCGCCATGGTCATTCCAATGATTACATAATCGCAGTGACAACGTGGACCACCGCTGAAAGGTATGCTTCACCAGTCAGTAACGGACTCACGGGAGCTCATAAATAACAAATATCCATACTCTGACATTTTGTTTCTGCAGCAGTGAAGTACACGAAGTTTGTTTTGATTCCCATATACACAGCCTAACGCACATAAACTCAACCTGAAAGGAAAAACACATTAACCCTGACCTACAGCAGAGACTTAACCTTCACAGAAACATGTCAGGCTTGCTGCTCCAGGCCCTGACCCGGCTGTTATCCGGCTGTTTGTAGTGAGCTGCTGATATGAGCTTGGAGATTTGTGCTCAGCTCTAAAATGACAGCGTTAGTCTCTAAATCAACTCTTCAGACACATGAGAGGACCTCACCAGGGTTGGAAAGTCACTATCCATCAAGTGCTGTGATGTTACTCTCACATTTTGGAGGGAAATGCAGTTTTTATTCAATTTATTTTAAAGCTAAAGTTATTGGTGATTTTTAAGATTCAGATTTACATAGAAAGAAATATAAAAACTCTTGATGACCTCTCAAAATCTAGTTGGGCCCCTTGTTATGTTTCCAATGTCTATAAGTTGTTAGCAGCAAAGAGACTTTTCCCCTCTAAACTTCTCACATGGTTTCATTTAAATAACTGTTGGCGTCTCAAAGAGTCCAAAAAATGCAAACAAATTTGAGCAGCAGTTTTTTCTTCTTTTCTCTCCCACTAATTCATCTCACAACTCCTCAGATTATTCATGTGACGCTGGTCAGGAACCACTCAGACTAAAGACTAAACTACCAAACTGTATATAAAATAGTTGGACCAGCTACACTTCACCTCACCTACAACAGTAAAATATGTCGTATATAATAATAAATTAATAACAGGGTCCAAGTACTTTTTGCTGATATTACAAAATACAGGACTTTTACTTGTAATGAAGATTTTTACAAAGCCGTATTGGTACTTTTACTTCAGTGTAGTATCCGAGTGCTTCTTCCACCACTGCAGCTCACAGACTGGCAGACAAACTAAGAAGGATTAACTTAACTGGATAAAGTTATAACTTGTCACATTTCAGGCTCAGAAAAACGGAAAAGCAAACATCCTGTCCGTTCCTCTTCCCTCTGTCCTGCTCCTGTGAAGAGATTTAAGATGTATAAAACTTTCTTTCTTCCTCCCCATGGATGTGTGAGAAAGGAATGCAGATGTCTAAACACCTTCCCAAACTCACGGCCAGATTCTGCTCATTCTGCTGACCTACGGTAATGTTTAAAGTGGGGGTGTGTTAGTTTAGGGACTTTTAGATGAACCAAGAGGACCAGATGTGTGTTTCGCATCAGATGACGCGCTCCAAAACAAACTGACAGATCCATGGAAACTGCTGCGCCGCTCATTGAGTTTAGTTTAAAGTCTTGAGGTTTGAGTAAACATCAACCTGCTCCTGACCAGAGGATTTCTGTCTTTACACCAACGCAAACCACAAGACACATATAGAGTGCATCAACACCTCAGCACTTAGATAAACACTGGCATTCAACCATTTTACATCTTTAAAGTTTTACAAATGTGAGGAATCTGTAACCATAAGGAATGTGTTTATTAGGTTTAATTCATGAGCAGGTCATGCAAGCTGTGAAAGACCCTTTTTTATACCGTATATATATACACTTTATTTATTAATTTTCTGTTCAAAGTTGGTTATAACATGTTTTAACCAGTGGTGGAAGAAGTACTTTACTGACACCTTCTACAAGGAGTGTTTGACTTGTTATGAAACAGTCTCAATTTAATACCAATGCCTCTTGATGTCCACAGGGGCCGCCAGAATTAACAAAAAAATGGATGTTCCTTGCATTCAAAATTCTTCTTGAGTAAAAGTATATGCCAGAAAAAATTTAAGATATTAGAAAATCAGAATGTTAAATTATGGAGCCTTCAAGATCCTAAAGATTATATTTATTTAACTTATACACAAGATATTAATTTGTCCAAGTTATTATCATGTCCAACAAAATAAAAAAAAAGATTTCAGGACTTCAGGGGCTCAAATGCTTCTGTTAGACTTGTTGTGGGACAATGTACAACTTTATCATTCTTAAAGTACATGATGAACTCACACTTGGTCTAATCAGCAACATAACTGAAAACCCTTGTGGGGGTCTGCGGGGCCTTTAATCAATAACAATGCAAAATAAAATACAATCATATTTATTAAAATAAGAGAGAGCAACAGGCGGCAGTTAAGCAACAGTTAAATAAATGTAGTGGAGTGAAAATTTAAATACATCCCACTGAGATGTAGTGGAGTAGAAGTATAAAGTAGCATAAATTAGATATACTTCAAGGACCAGTGTGTGGGATTAAGTAACATCTAGTAGTGCAGTTGCTGATTGCAACTTCTTCGCATCACTGTCCGAATCAAAGCGCAAAGAAGAAACAATGGTGGCCATGAACCTC